TTGCCTCCTGCGCGGTTTGCATCAGTAATGTGCTCCTCGTCATGGCGTGGCGTGGCCCGGCGCGGCCTGGCGCGGCACGGCCGTCAGGCAGTCCGACCCACCTTCCTTGCGTTGGCGCGCGCGTGTCTTTTGATGTGAGCAAACAGCCGGCGGGACGGGGCGGGGCGGGGCGAGACGGGGGCGGCTGAGCATTAGCGGCAATGGCTGGGGGCGCGGCAAGGTGGCCAGCCTTCCGACGGAAAGAACACTCAAGCAAAAGTATTAACGGCAAATGACAAAAACGTAAAAACGTTGGAGACGGAGGATATAGTCCTGGAACTCTACTCTGTCACGTCCTGCCTCGAATCGTTTTTATTCACTACGGTGACCGCGCACGTACGTATAAAAGTGAGCGAAAAGGCATATTTTATTTTTGCAAATTGGACTGGCCGGCGAGCGAGGCAAGGCTGTGGTCCCGGCCACGGCCAGGCTTGCCCCTATCGGCCGGCCCGGCCCGTTCCCTCTTCAAAGGACCCCGCTGACAACTCGACATCACCGCAAGCAGACCGACCACCTCGCCCCGCCCCGCCCCGTGGTAAATTGAGCAGGGGTGTCGCGTGGCCTCCAATAGGTTCGCCCTGACAGTGTCCTAGGTCACGTGGGCCGCTGCCGCCGCTGCCCCGCGGAGGGGGCTTTTCGCCTCGGCACTGTAACTTTACCGCGGCGGGCTAGCCGTGCCTCGCCGGGACGCTCCTGCCTCCGCAGACTGATTCCGAGAGTCGTCGCTCTGTCCTCTCGCACTTATGGGACGTCCACTGCAGGTGCGAGAGAGACAGAGCGACGAAAACGACTCTCAGACTCAGTCTGCAGAGACGTTTAATTTGGGCGGGTCCAGAGTCCTTCAAAGTCGAGCTTCCTTTCCATTCACGCCGGTGTCAATTTGCTTATTCCTGGACAAGTAGTTTCTCCTCGACGGCGAGGTGGAGGGGCCGGGGCGTCTCGGCGGCCTCGGCGTCGTGCCCGAGCATCGCGACGCGCTGTTTGATCGGGACGCACAACTGCGCTGTGTTCCAAGGATTGATCCCCCGTCTCCAGCGTGCTCCACAGTGCTCCAGCGCGCCTGCTCGAGGCGTGCGTCGCCAATCCTGCATCGGCTCAGCCTGTTGGGGTTCAACTCGCACCCCCTACCCCGGCACAGCGCGGCCCGGCACCATGAATAAATCCTTGTTATTATTCTTTTCCTTGGGTCAGTCCGCGAGTAAAAGTAAAGCCTGGGGCGAAGTGGATTTCGCGGCACCGGGGCCAACGCCGCCAACGCGGCCAACGTGTTGCACAAAGGGACTGTACGCCTTTGGGGGGAACGGCGCGCGGGCCGAGGGGGTGGGGCGGTTGCGTCCAGCCTGGGGGCGTCGATGTCCACGACGGCCGGCCGAGCTCCGCGGCGGTGGAGTGGGGGCAGGGGTGAGGGGCGGGGGGTCATCGCGCGAGAGAAATAATATCCCGATTTTATGTCGTATAAAAGGGGATATCGAGGCGCGTTGAGCGGACGCGTCATACAGGCGTGCGGTCGTTCCGAGACGCATTTCCCTCCCCGCCCCGCCCCGCCCCGCCCCGCCCCGCCCCGCCCCGCCCCGCCCCGCCTGACCCAGTTATCAAGTGTAACGACAGTGCGTGCGCCGCGTCGTTTGTCGGTCGCAATGAGCGAGCGAGTCGCACCCCGCCCCGCCCCGCCACTCGCCCCGCCCCTGCGCCTCCGCCCGCGAGGTAGGCCGCCCAACGGGCTCGCGGCCGGCCCGCCCTGCGGCCTACGGACTGGTTCCGAGAGTCCGTCCCCGTCGCTGTGTCTCCCTCGCACCTCCACGGCCCGAGTGCGAGAGAGACAGAGCGACGACTCGCCTTGCGCCCTGCGGCCTGCGGATGCGAATGCGGACTGCCGGGCGGCCGGCTCACCCCGCCCTGAGAGTGCGCCCGGCCCTTTATGACGCATCTAGCGGCTGCTGCCCCCCCCCCCCCCCCCCCCCTAGTCGCGTGGGACGCGTAAAAGCACCCTTACTCCAACACTGAAAAATAATGCGCACCACTTTACGAAAGCCCGTTTCGCCGTCCGGGTCCTTTATTTCATTACTATTTTTTTCCATTCGGAAAACGGTTTAAGTGCGCACCGTGCATTTTATCGACGGCTTTTTTACGCGCCGAAAAAAGGGGAACCCCCGGGGGGCGGAATTAAAAAGCGGGCATTGTTCGGGCCGAGTTGCGCGGCGCGTGCTGTAGCACGCCACATAATAGGTGGCGAAGGCGGGAGTTACTTTGGACGAGCCTTGCACGGCGACGCGGCGCGCGACGCAATCCTATCGGAAAGAAAGTAACGGGATGCTGCTCTCTTCGCGCTGGAAACAAGAAACAACCAAGTTGGCGGAGACAGCCTTGGAAAGCGCGGCGGCGCGGTGGTATGAAAGGAGCGGCCCTGTCCCCTGGAAGTCAATGCGAGCAACACGAAGTACAAGAAGCAAGCAGGGAAGAATAAAAAGAGACGCGGTGCGCGCGTGGCGTGGCGGGGCGGGGCGGGGCGGGGCGGGGAAGGCTCATCGGGAGGCGCGGCGCCGCTGCTGTCACACTGCTGCTGTCGACTTTACTGCTGTTTCAATTGCAGCGCGCTGCCTCCACGACGTCCTCCACGACGTCCTCCACGACGTCCTCCACGACGTCCCAACATGACGCGGCGGCAAGCGCCCCGTCGTGCGTATAGTGCACGGTGGCAATCATGCCGACGGCGCGCACCGGCTGCACCGGGACTCGCAATACGCACCGCGCGCGCAGCTGCCTACCCTGCCTCGCGCTGGTCGCGGAGGAGTTCAACAGCCGACTCTGCAAGTGCAGTGACACTCCGGACAGCGGTCCGCCACCCAGCCCAGAGGGGGTGCGAAAGAGACCTAAACCTGACCCCTACGACACGGCTCATTGGTGCGAGAGAGACAAAGCGATCTTGCCCTCATCGTTCGCGCGACGACCTTTTTCGTTCGACCTGGCCGATATTTTCAGGCCCTTTCAAACAAAGTGTGGTCGCGGCGCGCCCCGAGGCCGAGGTGGGCATCGGCGCGGCGGGGGACGCTTGGACCACAGCCAGATTGGCCGCGGCGCACGCGCGGACGCCCAAAGCGGTAATTTTGAATATTTCAACACGTGGACAGTTCATTGATGCATGTGCGACATGTGTGGGTTCATTCGTAAAGGACGCACACAAATTTTAAAGATGATTCCATCGATACATGCATCTGATTCCAGCGATGACTACTGTAGTCCAGGGCCACCGCGCGAGTGGGTGTTCGCCGTGAGGACGGACAGCTGGCTAGTGTGTGTGTGTGTGTGTGTGTGTGTGTGTGTGTGTGTGTGTGTGTGTGTGTGTGTGTGTGTGTGTGTGTCTGTGTCTGTCTCTGTGTGTGTGTGCGCGTGTGTGTTGGGGGAGGGCGGCGTCTGTTTCTTCCAGCTCGCCAGCTACCTCGGCGGCAGGGTCGCCGCCGTGCCGACCACCATCCCCCGCTTGTTCTTCTCCGTTATGCTCGTGTCCGTGGTGCCGGCGGGGACGCGAAACACATGCAAGGGGGAATCTGGTGTGTGTGTGTGTCCCTCGCTGCGCGGTGCACGCTAACGTGACAACGTGCGGGAGCGGGGTGGGCTGGAGCCAGGCTTGGGTGGAGCAGCGCGCGGACAAGCTGCCCATGAATATTTCATCGTGGAATCACAAATTTCCCCCGCGCGTCAAAAATATTTATATCAGCAAGAGTGATGAGAGGGCACCGATAGTAACACGGCCCGGGGGCCGCCCTGCCCCCTGCATCGGCCCGGCACGGCCGTCAACAACAACATGAATAGCAACAGCAGGGGGCACTTTGACGGGCGGGGCGCGCGTTTAGGCCTAGTCGGGCCTGAGGGTAAAAAGACGTCTGCCACGCATCAAATTTGCCACTTGGTAAGAGAAAACCGCCGGGCCGGGCCGCTACCACCACAGCATTCGTCGACGAGGCCCTCCAGGAGGACGCCTGTGTCTCGGCGGAGAGGAGACTCACGCGGCTAGACTAATGCAATATTGATACACGACACCGAGGCCCGGCCAGGGGCCCGGCGGCCTCGGCCTGGCTCAGCCCAGCCCCTTTGTTCTACGAGCGTCGCTGATTGCCCCTCGATCCGCCCTCCACCCTGCGGACTGAGAGTCGCCTTCGTCGCTCCGTCTCGCTCGCACTCACGGGTTGCCCCGTACGGATGCGAGAGAGACAGAGTGACGAGAGCGACTCTCGGAGTCAGTCTGCTGGGCGCGGCGAGGCCGCGTGCGAATAGCGGTCGGGGCGCCGCACCCCAGGGCCCTGCTATTCGCAGTCAGCGCGCCGCTATTCGCACGCAGCGACCTCTGGCGGGCGTGGCAGGCCGTGGCAGGCACTGATAGCGTTGTGTTGTGTCACTTGCAACGCGAGGCGAGGCCAGGCGGGGCCGGGGCCCCGGGCCTTGATCCGGCCGGAGAGGAGGGCAAAAGGAGTCTCGCTGGGTTCTCGTCTCGGTTTATTTCTGGCTTTACAGGGTGTACAGTGTACGATCCGACTTTTGGTTCGAGGTGACGTGCAGCGACGCAGGTTGAAGCACCCGTCTTCTTCGTGCTAACATTTATTTTTGTATTTGCTTCAACTTTGTCGCTGTCCACTGCTCGGCGAGGAAGAGGTTCGTTTATTGAATAAATTACACCAAGGGGTCCACCACTTAAACAATCTGTGTACGCTAACAGGAGAAAATCCACCAATCTTGCATCGGAAACTCCTGCAAGTAGGCAAAAAAGCGACAAAATCGTACAATATTCCAAACAATCGGTCACAATCAAACAATCTGTGTACAGGAAAATTCCGAGTGAGGGACCCCTTGCATTACACATAGTAGTCTAGTACAAATAATAACTTCAACATCTCTTATTTTACAAACGTAATAAGTTAAGTGCGATCCTCCGAGGAGAAGTAAACGTGCATGCCCTTTCCATTGATTTATGAGCAACGCTCTGTAAGTGCTTCGTCCTTCTTCCTTCTCTGAAGAAGCACGAGCGTCAAAAAAGAGCGCAGCCATTTTCGCAGAGTAACAGCAGCAGGCCAGTCGCGGAATCCCGTGTCCGTACGCTAGTGCTACCAGACCATCCCCTAAGTGCATGAAGACACAACATGAAGACAAACTTCCCAACACCTCGAAAAATTACGAGCGGCACGCGCTCCCCTTGTCCGAGCGCGATAAACAACGACGCGCCCGCCTCACCAGACTGATGCCGAGAATCGCTTCCGTCGCTCTGTCTCTCTCGCACCTATACGGAACGCCTCATGAGTGCGAGAGAGACAGAACGACGGAAACGCCTCTCGGAATCAGTCTGCAGGGACGCCGTCGGCCGAGTGGCCGAATCACAGAAGCGCTTCTCACACAGTCTCACCCAAAGCAATGAACACTGTATTTCTACGAATGCGACGTCATTTACTCCTTGGATTGTAAATTTTGGCACGTTTAGTAAAAATACGATGTCACACACTTTTCGGAACGTGACTCGGCCGTCGTGGATAAACATTCAATGCCATCGCATACAAAGAAACGTGCTAAAACTCACGTTCGGCCGAACATGACGCCACACTGGTTGAATTACAGTGTACCACGTTAGTACCAGTCGAAATTTTTCGCAGCGGCAGAGTGGGCGAGTCCATTGCCGCTTGAACAGTCAGTCAGCGACGTTCAACAGCAGAAGGTTCCCCTGTCCGCTGTGGCAGCGGAAGTTGGTTGAGTCCACACGAGACGGCGACCCCGGCTGCCCTGCGAGTTCGGGGGCCATCGGGTCCAATTTGTTCGAATTTCGGAAGACACAATTACGGGGGGCTAATTTGGCGTCCCTGCGGAGGGGCGCGGACGCACAGCGGGGCGGCCTGGACGGCCTGGACGGCCTGCAGACGGCCTCTGCGGCGGGCCAAGGCGCCAAGGCCGTCGCCGAGGCCGGTAAATTCGTTTGGCCGGCTCGTTCCGTCCGGAAGTGCCAGAAGGCTGCGGCGGCTTTAGCGGCTCCACCACTGCACGCTGTAGCTGGAGGGGCCCTCCTGGCCGAGGCTGTGCGACACGGCGGCCACGGACAGCGGCGCCCCGGCGGCCGAGGCCGGCGGCAGCGCGGGCGGCAGCGCGGGCCCCGTCACGGGCACGGGGTCGGACAGCGGGTTCGGCGGCGGCCGGGTCGCCGGCGGTGCGGGCGGGGCGACGTAGGGCGCAAGGCGACGCGGCGAGAAGGGCCGGTAGGGCCCGGCGGAGTAGGGCCGCGTCGGCGCCAGCGCCGTGGTGCCGTCGTCCTCGGGGAGGATGGTGTTGTCCTGCAAACGGCCTCGTTCAGTTCCGCCAAATACTCGAGCAACTCGAGTCCATCCGCCGCACAGTGGGCCCGCAGACGGATGGAGGCGGCCAAAACTCTTAACGCGTTTTGAGCTCCAGAGTCGCTAAGTGGGACTCGAACCGACCGTGTGACCCCACCAATGGATTGCTCGTTCGGAGAGCAATCCATTGGTGGGGTCACACGGTCGTTGTGAGTCCCATTTAGCAGCTCTGGAGCTCAAAACGCGTCCGGGATTTGTGACCGCCTCCGCTGGTCTTCTGGCCCACTGTGCGCCGGGCCAGGAAGGTTATTCCGAGAGGGCATCGGGATGGAGTTTGCCGACCCACCTGCGGGTAGCGGTCCACGTCGCACACGGTGCCGCGGATCAGGTCGGCCACGGGCGCCGAGTAGATGCGGAAGTTGACGTCGTTCTTGAAGTCGATGGAGTTGGAGATGAGGAACACGGGCATGCGGTCCGACATGACCCACAGCGTCTTCTGGGCGTCCACCTGCGGACAGGCACGACATCACGTGTGTGTGTGTGTGTGTGCTTGTGTGAGCGTGTCAGTGTGTCAGTATTTGTTTCCGACAGCCACGGAAGTGTTTGCCTTCCGCAAACTTGCGACTCCCACGGGGCTGGCGCGCCATGGCCGGGGCTGTGCGGGTCCGGCAGAAAATGATTAGGCTTGTTTGGTTAAAGTTCGAACGGAAGTTGCGTGTTCCCCGCGCGGTAGCAAGACCAACGAAACAACAACAACGGGCAGCCACTTACTTACCCATGTCCACACCACGTGGGTTCTGTATTTCCATTTGCCGGAACCACAAGTCAACGCGTGTCTGCCTCGCCGCGACATGCATGTCTCACATGTGTCGCTCAGCCAAATGGGGCCAGGTGCGCCCGCCACACCTGAGCCCCTGCTGGCTGCCTGCCTGCCTGGGCGACGCGGACAGACCGCAGCCATTGCTTTCTATCCACTCTGTCGAGGTTTCTCGGGCTTTCGCACTCCGATATACGATTTTGCAGAGTAGTTACGCAAGTCTTCTGAGCAATCTGACAAGGACCGCAGTCCAGCAGACTGAGAGTCGTTTTCGTCTCTCTGTCCCCCTCGCACCTGTAGGATCGACGCATACCTTGACGTCGCTGGGGAAGACGAGCCCGACGTCGTCGCGGTCCAGCACGGCCTGGGTGTCCTTGGAGAAGGGCAGGCGCGAGTTCCAGCAGCCCACGGCGTTCTGGTCGATCAGGTTGTAGAAGAGGATGCCGTCGTCGTCCATGAAGTGGGCCGTGGTGTGCGCGTTGGCCCCGCGGTTGGGCAGCGCCAGGAACTGGTGGTAGCTGCGCAAAGTTCGTCATCTGGGTCAAGGGTCGAATACTCAAACTAGGGTCGGTTTAATCCATAGAGATTCGCAAGCACAGATAGGCAAGTTCATTAAACTTGATATTTGAACTTTACTCGATTATGCTTTGAAAATAATTACATCATGATCTCATTGTGCTGCGAGTCCACTGCGAGAGTCAAAGAATGTCGACGATGAAAACTAAATAATGCAGACTAATGCCGAGAGGACGCTGTTTTATTGGATCGGCCGGTGCGAAATGAGTCGATGCGTTTTGTGAATTATCGCTTCATTAGGCGATGTCGGGATTAAATCAGAGCGGCGCGCGCCTCCCCACCACACCACTGCAAAGCCTCTCCACTCCAGCCGGCACGCCTCATCAGTCCGACTCGCCACACTCGCCGTGGTGTGACTCCGCCGCCGTCCCCGCCTCGCTCTTTTACTTCTGGAGAACGGTCCCAGGTGCGGTCACGGAGGCCCCAATGCCCCCCAGAGGCCGTCTCGGCGGCCCGTTCGGACACTCCGGCCGACAGCTGGAGCCCTCCTGGAGTCCTCTACGGAGCCCTGGACTTTGAGCGGCACTCCAGGAGATCGAAAGCCGCCGTCATACTTCACAGTGGCGACGATGAATTCGGAGTCCCCTTGCGGAGCGATTCAGAAGAACGCTCTGTCTCCCTCGCTCCGTTACGGAGAGCCCCATGAGTGCGACAGAGACAGAGCGACGAAAACGACTCTTCGGCCGGCCGAAGTGCGAATGATCGGGGAGGATATGTCCGAGTAGGAAGGGACCGCCTTTGTCGCCAACGTCCGCACTCTCGAAGCACGATGGGAACAAACAGTTCGGAAACCGATCCGTTTTCGAACACCGCGCCCGTTTGAAACCGACCCCAGAAATATCCTCCGGGCATCTGTCCGGTGTGTCCCCGATGACTCCGACCATTTCTAGCCGTAAGCCCCCACGAGAGTATCGAAGTATCGAATCGCTCCAAATCCCACTTCAGCTGATGGAACGCGCCCCATCTTCAAGAAGTAGTGGGTGTGTTCAGCGCGTCACAAAAACGGCCTGCAGACTGATTCCGAGAGTCGTTTTCGTCGCTCCGTCTCATTGGCACTCGCGGGCGCCCCTTGGAGGTGCGAGGGAGACGGAGTGACGAGAGAGTTGACGGTGGAGCGGAAGGGCCGTACCTTTCCTCGGACTCGGCCATGGCCTTGTCGCGGAGCACTCGGGTGGACACGGCGAACTGGCGGTTGCTGGCGAGCGGGCTGAAGAACAGCGTCCTGAAGCCGTCCTGCTTGAGCGGCGACAGGGCCAGGCCGAAGATGCCCTCCTCGAACCACTGGAAGTTGAGGCCTGCAATGTTGAAGTCACCTGGAAAAAAAAAATATCAGGAGATAAGTTTGCTTTGCAGCATCGATCAGGCCTAGCGTCCACGCTCCAAAAACATGACTGATAAAAAAAAAAACTTAAAATTTCTTACGGTTTTTTTTTTAAAGAATTTTTTTTATTCAAACTTGTTTAGAGTCTGAAGAAACACCAAGAAAACAAAAAATCAAACGACCATTTTTCTGAGTGTAGAAGTGACGTCGGAGGGGACAAGAAAACGGTCAAATTCCTAAGTCGGAGGATCGCGCTCGGTTCCAGCTTTTTACTAGGATATCAAAGCTTAGAATGCGTTAAGGTGAACGCTATGCAGTGTAGTGGACTGCTTTGCGATGCGTCTCGTGTCAGTAAACGACAGCATTTAATTGGAAAATGGCATCTGTTTAGAGAACGTTTACGCTTGCAGTGGTCATGGCAGCCGACAAAGTAACACAACACTGAGTGGCGGCGGTGACGCCATTATTGAGCTAATCGGTGAAAGACACTCGCCTAAGGCCAACGCCAGCAACATACAAGGAAAAGACACAGCAGGTCACCAGGAGACACGTAGTCTAATGGACAACGACAGTCCAGCGGCTCGCTTGCAGACTGAGAGTCGTTTTCGTCGCTCTGTCTCTCTCGCCCTGATGCGGCGTCCTGTTCAGTTGCGAGGGAGACAGAGCGACGAGTCGACACCTCCTAGGAACAAGCGGCTATCTTCCGAGAGCTTCCAGACACTCGGCTATCTCGCAGTAGCTTTCAGACACTCGGCTATCTTCCAATAGCGTCCAGACACTCGGCTATCTTTCTGAGCGCTTCGGAGACTCGGCTAACTGCTTTTCCCACTTCCCGAGTTTGGGTGCGTATATATTTTAAACCAGTTGAAATGCCCTCACCGGGACCTAACCAAAATGTGTCAAAAGTTTGTCAGAGTAGATTAAAATCATGCGTGAGCATGTCTTGATAAGTGAACAAAGAAAACGCTATCGAAAGGACAACCCTAACCTCTCCGCAGAAGTCAGTTAGCCGAGTCTCCGAAGCGCTCAGGAAGATAGCCGAGTGTCTGGACGCTTTTGAAAGATAGCCGAGTGTCTGGAAGCTCCTGGAAGATAGCCGCTTGTTCCTAGGAGGTGTCGGAGTGAGTAGAATGAGTGGTGCAGCTCACCCTTGAGCGGGTCGGGCAGGAAGTAGCCGTGCTGCACCCGCCAGGACGTGTTGAGCTCCCACGAGTACACGATGAGGCCGTAGCCCAGCTCGTCGGACGCGTACAGGAAGGCGTCGTCGCACGTGCGGCCCACGTCCACGGCGATGTTGGCGATGAAGGTGTTGGCGTTGGTGTCCTGCGTGCGCAGCGTGTAGCGCCGCAGCAGCTGGTCCGTCTCCAGGTCGAACACCAGGATGGAGTAGGGGCACACGTTCTGCGTCGTGTTGCCGATGCCCACCGTGCCCGTGTCCAGCACCCACAGCCTGTTGCACGCGTCGGCCTGCGGGGAGCAGTGAGAGGAGTCGTGGGGTTGGTCCTCACCCTCCACCGTAAAAACGGTTCCTGGTTTTCCCAGAACTCTCTGAGAATCACCTATGTCTTTACCACAGGCTTCCTGGGAAAACCTGAAACCGCAAAGAGCCCCGAGCCACTCTACACACGAGCCCCCACTCTGTTTCACGCCAGCCAGACACCTGTACTAGTGTGCTGGCGCCATAATCCTTTGGAGTAATTGGCGCGACTCTCGAAATAACACCAATGCGAACTGGAGCCGCGGTCTTCCGCACCGCCAGAACACAAACTTTCTTAAAGTACACACTGGCCGCTCTCTCATTGCGCTAATTGCGCGGAGTAATTTACGAGTGCGCCGCGGGCGAATCGCGCGAAACCGTCGCGACAGAAGACTTCGAGCGCCAGATTGAGCGATTCATTCACAGAGAGACGCCGGCAATGTCTACTGCGCACAGTGGGCCAGAAGACCGGTGGTGGTGGTCATAATCTTGAACGCGTTTTGAGCTCCAGGGTCGCTGAACGGTCTGCTCCGTTTTTTCGGGCTAGTTGCCGGCGGACTGTTCCTGCTGACGCTTGCAACTATCAGCGCCTCTACCGCAAAAAGGACGGGGTGCGTTTTTCAGCCGTTCGTAGACGATGATCTCATCATTACGACGGACGTCTGTCTCTGGCACGCACCAAACCTTCCCTCCACACTGCAAAACTTTGCTTGCCGCGTGAATCGTCTCGTCGAAAGACGAAAGACGAAAACGGACAGCTTTTCAACAGACGGCCGGCCGGCAGCCCCCAGCAAGCCCCAAAACGAACGGGAGGCGAGGGAAATACACGAGGAATTCGCTGGAGCATTTGCATTTAAACGGCAGTGTCGTCGACGACGTGATGCATCGCCGTCACTTGGACGCGTATCAGACTTTTGTGATGAAAGCCCCGCGTGTCAGCGGGACATTACTCACACAAACATGTCACGCGGCGGCTGGCCGGAACCAGCGCGTGGCAGCGCCCCACACGTCACGCTGCGGCGCTGCGGTTCGCACTGCACCACCACCACGACAACATCGCTGTCGACACTTTCGGCGAAAGCGGCGGCAACAGCACCCATTAATTGATGCATTTTCATGATGGAAACTTGCTTAGCCGCGCCACCGCGCGCTGCACCACCGGGGCCGCCGTCGTCTAGTTTTTGTTTTTTCGCTCATCTTGCTCTTGTTGTTCCTGACAATCCCATTTTACCGTGACGAGGCACCCAATCGCTTTATAGTGCAGGCGGCCCCGCGGTGGAAATAACGAAAGCGAGGAAATTGGAAAACCCCGCGCCGCCGCGGGTATTCGAACCTCGAAACCTCGCCCTCTCACCTTGATCCGGTAGGTGGTGGTGATGCCCGTGCCGCAGCTGCCCTCGATGTTGGTCTTCCAGTCCGGGTAGGGCACGAGCCGCGGCGAGTCCGTGTAGCTCACCGACAGCGAGATGTAGTTGAGCGTGGAGGGGATGCCTGCAGCGGGACGAGCAACAAAAGCAAAATGGAGGTAGAACACAAACGCGAACCGCGGGAGCGCAGGGCCGCCGGAGAGAGACGCTTTGTTGTTTCGAGTGAATTAATTCATTAAAATCTTGGGACGGGACACCGCCGCGCGTCGAGCAGCCTGTCACGTCGTGAGTGAGTGAGGCACCGGTGTTCAGGAGCGGGGCGGTGCCGGGAGAGGAGCTAGGAAGAGACAACAGCGCGCTGGGCTCAGAGGTAAACTATGCGTCGGAAGCGGGTTGGTGCTGCTGCCCGGAACGCACACACTCACACGCACAGACACACACCTGCGAACGGCGCGAGGAGTGAACGTCCTTGCTGATAGCGCGGATGACCTGGAAGCGGATCGTTGCGCCGCGCCACTGGTGGCACAGTGTGCGGGGACGGCGGCGGTCTCTAGGGACGCGCTCCGCTTGGCTCCGCTTCAGCAAGCTCAACGACGAGGAGCTTGGCGACCCTCCCGCTCTGCAGCGCGCAGCACTGCGCGGCACGCCCTGCCCAGCGGCGTCGTCCCCGCCGCACAGTGGGCCAGAAGACCGGTCGGTGGAGGCGGTCAAAACTCTAGACGCGTTGTGACCTCCAGTTCTAAACGGGACGCGAACCGGCCGCAGCCTCACCGGAGAGGCAAGGAAAATTTCCAATGGTGTATGCACGTGAGGACAACGAGTGCACGCGGTGTGGCCAAGCGAGCGAGCAAGACGGAGACAGCCCGCCACGGGGTGCCGCCGGTCGGTGGGAGCGGAGTGGGCCCATAGCGTTTTCGCCGCTACCGACCGCGTCAAATTAAATCAGCCAGTGTGTAATAACGGCAGCGGTTGACCAAACTCCATCAAGTCAGCGCCACTGCGTCTGCGGCGGAGTGCACGCGCGCGCATGTGTGTGTGTCGCGCGCCCGGCCACTACGTATGCGAAAACAAGGCATTGATAATGGACTGACTATTGATTCTCGGTCGCGTTTTGGTCATGTTTGCGAGTGAGGCGACACAGCCCCGCAGCAGGCATGCACGCACGGGTGCACTCTGCCTTGCCACGCCCTTCGCCATCGCCGCTCCACGAAACCCTTTGCTCCCTGGAAAAACATTGGCAGTTCCAGACCGGCAGGAAAGGCTTCCGATACGGTCAAGAAGTGCCCCATCCTGCTGCAACAGACTGGTTCCGAAATCTTCCCTCTCTCTCAAACCTATGCGGCACGCCCCATGAGTGCGACAAAGACAGAAGGAGAGCGAACGACGCGGGAAGAATGCAAAGTGAAGAGACGCACCGGCGCGCCACCGGGGCACGGTGACGAACAGCTTGTCGCCCCACAGCTCGATGCCGACGGGCAGGTTGTTCTCCGGGATGAAGCCACCGGTCTGCAGCGCCAGCTGCCTGGTGCGCTCGTCGGGGAAGGCGAAGTCCAGCGACTTCCAGCTGAAGCGCTCCTGCAGCTTGCTGGCCTGGACGGCCTGCGGGGCAGAGGTCGAGAACGGTGAGCTGCAGCGTTACACGAGCACTTGACCCGGCGGTCTCGGACGCCGCGGCGCACGGAAGACCAAAATTTTAGACGCGTTTTGAGCTCCAGAGTCGCTCAATAGGACTAGAATTGAACGTGTGACCCAACCAATGGATTGCTCTCCGAACGAGGAATCCGTTGGTGGGGTCACACGCTTGGTTTGCTTACTCTTGATCTCAAATTGCGTATAGAATTTCGGTCACCTCCAGGCCTCTACCGGTCTTCAGGTCCACTGCGCGAGCTCACCTCGTTGTACACGGCCTGCTGCGGCCGGGGCGCGGCCTTGGGCGCCAACGGCGGCGGCGCCTGGGTGCGCGGCAGCGGCAGCGCCCCGAAGAAGGGCAGGTCGTTGAGGCCCGAGGGCCCCGTGGGGAGGTCCGCCGGGTGGACCGAGGACGGCGTCAGCGCCGACAGTGGCGACGAGTGCACCAGGTGCAGAAGCTGCTGCCGGGGCGTGTACACCGTCACGGGCTCGGCGGACACCAGCTGCAGCGCGAGCAGCGCCGACAGCATCGTGGAGAGAGTCATGGTGGCGGCCAAGGACCTGCGCAAGGGAGAAGGCAGAGTGTCACATTTTGGGGAAACAGTCTCTGGTGCGGCGGGTTATGGTGAAAATAAAACTCTGAAAAAGTTAACTGAACGCGGGTCTTGCGACACTTGTCCCACTCGCAGCTGTCCCACAAGTCTGCAGCAACTGCAGTGCCAAGAATTTCATGCTTTAGTACGTGCACCCTCCACCTCCACCCCGCGACCCCAGGCAACCCCAAACACCAAGACGCGACCCAACAAAAAAATTTTAGGACCCAAAATGAGTTGTGCTATCGCAACCGCTAGTGACGAGCCTGTGGAGGACCGCCGAAGGACTGCACCTTGGCCAAGCTAGGGACCACGAATTGGGCTACAGACAGAAGAAACAGTAGCAACGTTTCCACACATAAGATTCAGATCAGCGGCAGCAACGCGAATATGCAACCCAACTTGTGGAGAGAAATTCGAAGCCGTCTCCGCAGGGCAGCGGCGTGGCAAAATGTCTGCACCTGCGGCTACGCCGGCCTAGGCGATCAATTGAATAGCGTGCGGCGCTTTGCGCACAGCACGTCGTCGAGATAACGCACCTTGACTTCGAATATGGAATCACTGTGGTTGCGGCTCGCTAACGGGCTCACTAATTGCACCACTTGGTGCCGGACAAACACACACTGGCACACAGACAGGATACGGACACACACACAGACACACACACGCACACAATCACGCATAAACACGCGCCGCCTCAATAAAATATGGCAATAAAATAATTGGTGGTTAAAATAATGAGGGAACTGGCCGAGAACCGGTCAGCGACTCTTTGGCTGCGGAGATCGCCGCCGCACCTCCCACATCGATAACCACCACCTCGGCCTCAGCCTTAGTCCCCGACCCCGACGACAAGCAGCAGGCCGATTCCGAGAGTCGTTTTCGTCGCTCTGCCTCTCTCGCACTTATACAGAACGCCCTGTGAGTACGAGAGAAACAGAGTGACGAAAACGACTCTCAGTCTGCTGGGCAGGCAGGGCGTGACCGCCGATCAAATTACCGCCACGGCGGCGACGGCGTCTGGGAGCGCGGAGTGATCCCCGCCCGCGCCACAGACCGCCGCATTTTGTCGCGTGAGTCTCGGCTGCGTGACTGTAACTGTCAGTCCGTATGCATATCTTTGATTCAATCAGCTCGCACGGTCTGCCCGTCCATTGATTAACGTGTGATTCCCGCCCCTTTCCTCAACTGTTTTTAATTTTTCTCTATTTGTTTTCGCGTGTGCTTGTTGGCTTTTCCTATTGTTTTGGTGATGTCGTTTAGTGACAGCCGCCTGGAGCCTCGCAGCGGTTCTTGCTGCTGCTTTCCAAAGTGCTTTTGAGACGACAGCGGCCAACGGAGAGGCAGCGTGGTTTGAAGAGCGCATGGCTCGGGACTGCATGCGGCAGGCTGCCTTCAAACAGTGCTCTCGTCGCTCTGTCTCTTTCGCACTCTTGATGCGAACCGCAGCAGTGCAAGTGAGACAGAGGACACCGTTTGGAACCAGCATGCAGTAATTGGAGTGTCGCCCGCCTGGCCTAACCTTGGGCCCTTACCCAGAGCACCGAGACTCGAGAGCGAGCGAGAGAGCGATACGCGTATTGCCCGCGATTCAGAAAACGGCGACCAATAAAAAGAGCGCGGGTTCAGCAGCGCGCGGGGAATGGCACTACTACGCGTAGTGCGAAGCGGCATCTCGGCACGCAATTAAAAAATTCCGGAGGTTGGAGCTGCGAGCGCACCACTGTGATTGGACGAATGTGCGGATGGAATATGGATCGGGTCCGGCACGTAACACTGACACGGCACAGTGGGCCAGAAGACCGCCTACGGTGGCCAAAACTCTCAAAATACGCGTTTTGAGGTCTAGAGTCGCTTTATGGGCCTCACATGACTCGTGTGACCCCACCAACGGATTGCTGTCTGAACGACGAATCCATTGGTGGGGTCACACGCTCGGTTCCAGTCCTGCCCTGCAGCTCAAAACGCGTTTTGAGGTTGGAGCTGCGACCACACCACTGTGACAGGACGAACTCACGGACAGAATATAGATCGGGTGCCGCACTGACACTGTGCCCTACAGCGAATGAATGGGCTTCGCGGTCCGCATGATTAACAGGTGTTTTGCTTAATTGAATTTAGTGACGCGTAAGTGAAATACAAAGCGCCGGTATTGACCTATGACGCCACGCCCTGCCGCGCCCCACCACGCCCCGCCAGACCCCGCCACGCCCCGCTCTAAATTATGCACGGGGAGCGCGACGCGACCGACGGGGATCCCCCACTCTGCGCGCCCAGGCGAGACTGCCTGGCGCCACTGGTGCTGCTGCGGGCTCGCGAGTGTGTCTGTGTGTGAGTGTCTGCCCGTGTGTGAGTGCTCTCGTAACAGCACAGCCGAGTAACTGCCTAATCTCATCGCAACCTGCGTGGCAGGAGGGGGCGCGACTTATGAATGGCGAGCCAAAACCGTGCGTGTTTGCGTGCGTGATGCGCTCGGATAGGTCCGCCACCACACACGTTGAGCAAGCGGCTCGTTTGCATGCCCACCAGTCAGTCAATCCCCTGACCGCCGCCTTTTTCTTTTATACGCAAAGTGTAAAAATATAAAACAGCAACAAAATAACGGCGGTGAGAGCCGTCTACTCTACACCAGCCAGCCGGCAGTCGTCGGCGAACCGTAAAACGGACACGCCGACACTTTGTCTGCACGTCAATAAAGCAGCCGTCGCCTCTTTAATCAGGAATCAGACGGAGAAGGAGGAGATGGCGACTCGCTGTGCAGCGGGAGGGAGAGAGAGAGAAAGAGAGGAGGCATGCTGGCTCGCTGCGGCGCGCGGCGGCGTGGCGCCTCAGAAAATGATGTGAACGTGGGGCAGACCGCGAGCTTGGAACTCGATGACGCCGTAGACGACGATGTGGACGTGGGGCAGACCGCGGGCTTGGAACTCGATGACGCCGTAGACGACGATGTGGACGTGGGGCAGACCGCGGGCTTGGAACTCGATGACGCCGTAGACGACGATGTGGACGTGGGGCAGACCGCGGGCAAGGAACTCGATGATTCCCTCTCACGACCCCTCATTCTTCCACCCCCGACACAGAGATGCGTTGTGATGACGGAAAAGCCGAGCCCCTAGATGCCACTTTGAATGTGAGAGACCTGGATGTTTTCGTTTTGCGCAAAAGCGTGGAAGAAATTGATGACGCACCGTCTGGCGTCTGCGACCGAACAACAACACCAACAATGATGGTCGTCTCCTTTGCCAGCCAAAACTAAAAAGTGAGACACATAATTGACTCTCTGCACAACACACGCAGTCGTCGGTGTGTAGCGCCAGACGAACAACACCGCTCGCTTCTTTGTGGCAGACGCCAACTTTTCGCACGATTCTCGGCCAAACGAGACTGCAAGTGACGCTAACCGCAGCGAGCTCTCATAAGATAAAACACGCTCGTCCGGTGCAACTTGTGCCTGCCACTGGAATGACAACGGCCGGCTCGGAACGCTGCCCTTTGCAGTGCAGCATGACGGAGGCGAGCCTTCCAGGAGACTGATTCCAAATGGCGGCGTTTCTTCGCTCGGTCTCTCTCGCACCCAATGGAACTCGTCCGGACGTGTTATGAGTGCAAGAGGGATAGAGTAGGGCCGCCGATCGAAATCGCTCGCGGCTGGTCCGCCGTTCTGCTCCACGTGTCCTTTCGCGATTTGGCTTCATTAGAAACGCGGTTGCGATTGTGCCAGTGGTCCGCCCGTGAGTCTTGCGTAGTCAGCACCAACTTGGCCCAACTTGGCGCACACGCGGCGACAGTGCGGCCGCATTGGCCCGGCTCATTCTCGGTTACGTTTTGACGAGATTAAAATACACAAATGAGGCAAATTCACGTAAGTGAGGGTAAATCAGGCAAGTAAGGTAGAGTCAGGCAAGTAACAAGGTAAAGTCAGGTAATTGAGGTAAAGTGAGGCAAGTAAGGTCAGGTCAGATAAGTAAGGTTAGATGAGGCAGGTGAGGTTAAATCAGGAAAGGATAGAAAGTGAGGGTAAGTTTGGCAAAAAAAAGGCGTCAGATAGATGAGGTTAAATCAGGCAAGTCAGGTTAGTCAAGTAATCTTGCAAGTTATATCAGATAATGTGAGGTTAGGTCAGACAATGTGAGGTTAGGTCAGACAATTGAGCCTAGGTGACGACGGGCAAGGTGAGGCCGATTTAGGACGCCCCCTTGTACAAAAGCAGTATGTCATCGCGGTGCGCCATAAGTTGCCATAAATCCTGTCCGCGTCACTCCGTCTGTCCGGCCTCCGGACTGCGGCTTGTAGATCGCGAGAACCACCGCCGAGTTTTGACAGGCAGCGACTTTCCTTGCCGCAGTGGAGCCTGCCGGATAAATCATACGCCGCTTAATGAACGCTCTGCGGACTGACGTCAGTTTTTTTTCCTTCTTTTCAACTTGTTCTTTGCGGCGTTTGGGAGCAGCATTGCGGTGCGTGGTGCAGGGCCAGGTAGTGCGTCCCGCCGCGGGGGACGTCGTCGTCGTCGTGAGGCATGTGTCGTGTCGCCGCCACTCCGCGAGAAGGGATAGCGACAAGTGGGCGGTCTCGAAGGGGAGGGGGCCTGGGGGCGCCGCCCACACGGGGCCAGAAAGGGTGGCGATGTAGAGCCCCAGGCCGGGTGGAGCCGGCCGGCCGGGCGGCTGCACACCAGGGCGGCCTCGGCCTCGAGGATTAGGAAGAGGGGATTGTTGATTGTGGAGATGGACGAGCCTGGGACGGGGCGAGGCGGGCGAGGCCGGCCGGCCCTAGGGGTCCATAACGCGGCGGACAAAGCGACGCACTTCCCCACCAGTGAGTCCGCGGAATGGGACAGGCCGGGCCGAAAGGCCGGCCGAGGCTATCGGCAACGGACATCTGTCACGATAAGTCGGCCTCGGCCGCAGCAACATCCCCACCGAGGCCGCCGAGGCCGCACCCCAGCCGGT